TGGAGCAGTCCTAGATAGCAGGTTTCTCCAATCTAGCTTTTTTTTTTTAAGTTCTTGACTTCTGTTAGCCACAAGTGTTGATTTTGACTCCAAGTAAAATGAAATTGTTGACAATTCAATCTTTCCCCATCTATCATGATGCTGCCTACTGATCCAGTGGTGAGAATTTTTGCTTTCCAGATGCTGAGATACAACAGCATATTACTGTCTGTAGTCTTTGATCTTTTGCATCAAGTGTTTAAGTCCTCTGCACTTTCAGCAAACAAGGCTGTATCATCTGCATAATTTTAGGCTGCTGATGACTCTTCCTTGAATCCTGATGCCATATTATTCTTCATAAAGTCCAGCTTCTCAAATTATTTGTTCAGTGTACAGATATACAGATTATGTATGGCGAAAGGATACAGTCCTAATACACGCCTTTCCCGACTTTAAATCATGCAATGTTCACTTGTTCTTATTTGAATAATAGTTTCTTGGTCAAGATACAAGTTACATATTAGCAAACTAAGTGTTCTGGGATTCCCATTCTTTTCAGTATTAGTCATAATTTGTGATGGTCCACACAGTCAAATGCCTCTGCATAGCCAATAAAACATAAGAAAACATCCTTGTGGTATTCTGTTTTCAGTAAAGATCCATCTGACATCAGCACAGATATCCCTGTTGCTACAGCCTCTTCTAAATTCAGCTTGAATTTCTGGCGGTTCCATGCCAACATTACCCTCCTACAAGTTTTCTGAATCATTTTCAGCAAGATTTTACTTGCAAGTGATATTAATGACAGTGTTTGGTAATTTCCACCTTCACTAATAAACAAATTGCTGACAATCAATTAACTGTTATTCCAACATCAGTAAATAGTCCTAGTTTTCTAAAATGATAGCTCTTAAGATATCTATCACTGTGCTTCTCCACTGCTAAAGCTTTTGAGATGTGTGGGGATACCATGCACACTCAAGGAACTGAAGAAGAGGAGATGACACGGAGGACATCCAGGGGCTGTCTTGGGCTGGAGTTGGAAAATGAAGGCATACCTTGACAACGCTGCCAATTCAGTTCAATGACTACCACACTGAATTGAGCTTCCGGGCTAGTTTGGCTTTCCAGAGCATAGAAAAGCTGCATTAATACCTCTACTATAGTCTTTCTGTGGGGTGTGCAATCAAACTCAAACTCAATGCTAGTAAGTGCTTTGACCCACTGTTGTTGTTGTGCACTGTGGAGTCGAAACCAACCCATAGCCAACCCTCTGGTGGGTTTTCAGAGGCAGTTAATGGCGGGAGGAGATTGCCCAGCCTCTTCCTGCAAAGCAGCTGGTGGATTCAAATAGCATGCTTCCCTGCAGCGCAGCTTCCTGCCACTAAGCTACCAGAGCTCCCGGGTTTCCAGGGCTATAAATTCCAAGAGGACGAGACTGCCTATCTTTCTTTCTCAGAGTGGCTGGTGGATTCAAACTGATGGAGATACATAGCCTTCGGGCTGGTAGCCTCCCAGAGCACCTCAGATGTGTTACAGCATTTCAAAGAGTTCAAAATTCTAAGTAATTACCAAATGTTACAGATACAAAGTGTGTAAACAGATCTGCTTGAAGCAGAGTTTACACAAACCTTTCTTTTGTGATAAAGGCCATGAAGCACAGTGAAGTCACACGAAGCTCATAAAATGTGGCCTGCCTGTGTTTCGTGCCATCTGGCCAGCTGCTTGTGCCATCTGGCTGTCCCCTACCCCCTCCTGCCCTGCACACCTCCTTATTTTGCCTTTTGCCAGCACAGGCTTCCTGTATTTCTTCCTGAGTGCCACCCCTCCAGGGCCTGAGCCTGAAGGTGGCTATCTGGTTTCATGTGTCCTGGATGACATTTCAGCAAGAGATGCCACAATATGCTATCCAATCCACTATCTCAGGGAAAAATCTCACTGGGCTAGGCCCTCTGCTCAGCCCAGGTGCACTGAATCTATCACAGTGTTTTTCCCGGCCAGTGAGCAGTACCGCACTACTTTAAAGCTTCCCAGAGTGACGGCTGATTTAACTGTCAACCTGGTGTGGTCAGGGTTCTCAGTAGTGAGGTCCACACTATGCCATCATCCTTCTCTTTGTGATCAGATGTGAGCAGTCAATCCACTGAAAGAGCAGTCTCCTTGGAGTTGAATCTGCACCCAATATATATGGAAGTTCTCGCCAAGATGGTTCCTTCCAATCCTTGTTCTCCTGAATTCATTTGGTCATCTCACCTGCAGTTCTTGGGATATAAGCCAGCAACCGGCCACCTGAAGACCCTGGACTTTTCTGTCCCTTTAGCCAGGTGTGTCAGACAACACCCCTAGTCTGCTACCTGATCATGGGGGTTTAGGAGTTATCAGTCTCCTTAAGCAACTGTGTTGGTTCTATTTCCTTGAAAATATATACATACACACTTCACTGCTATTCCTCCTCTCCAGGATGGACAGTCATTGGGGCTGCCTTGCTGTGGACTGACAGCTCTTTAGTGAAGCTCTTTAGTCATGAGGCTAGAATGGATTAGGCAGCATACTAGCTCAGGCCTGATAGTGTGCATTCCTTTCCCATTTCAATTGTAACAAACTACCACACACTCAGTGGCTCCACTGGTGGCCTCCCCTCCCAACACCTTCACCATCTCCAGCAGACATTGCTGCTTCTGCCTCTTTCCTCCACAGTGAAAGGCTGCTCTGACTTCACTGGGCCCTCCTAATAATCCACAACCTCCTCCTTCTGTTAAGGTCAGCAAACTATTGCTGCTGGGTGCCAGTGAGCTAATTCTGACTCAGGGTGACACACGTGACACAGTAAAACTGACCCATGGGCTTTCTAGGCCATGATCTTTATGGGAGCTAAGCACCAGCTCTTCCATAGAGCTGCTAGGTGGACTTGAACTACCAACTTTTAGTTAGTTAGTAGCTAAGGCCTTCACTGTTAACACCTCTGGGGCTCCTTAGTTAGCTGATTACCAATCTTGAACCCATCTTAGCTTATAAGAGAGCACAGCCAGAGGATCTGACCATCAGGACGTGGGCGTGTTTCAGTGGGGGAGTTATTCTGTCAGCCACAAGTGGAGACCATGGTATGAAACTGCGTGGGCAGTTTTATTTAGAAGAGGCTGTAGACAGCAGGCACCATAAACACATCTGATACGTTACGATAAAAATCATAGCACAACATACAGCTTGATTACTGGAGTTTTAACAGTTTATGTTGGTTTTCATCACTTATACTTCATGCCAATAGACCCTTCAGGCAGGGAAATAAGAGACTAAGGTATGAACAGAAATCAACTTGACAGCCCACAACAACAGCAGCAAAGCATTCTAGCAGAAGTATAAGGAAACAAGCAGAAATGCTGCATCCTTTGATAGCCTACAAGTGATCTTCTGGTAATTACAGTCAGTCAACAACCACCAACAAAAATCAATAGTAACTAGTTTAGATCCAAGAAGTAATCCTTTAAAAACACACTTTTCAAGACAGTTTCAACTAGCTAATACTTTTGCCAATGACTATAATTATAATTTATTAAAAATCAATCAATATAATACAAAGAAGGTACTTCTTGATAGTCTTTGCTTTATAAGATAAAGTATTTGAGCTTTATTTGAGGGGATGGGAACAACAAAAAGCATTATTCCAGGCTGAGGCTACCAGTATATGAAATTTCATGGAGGATTTTCTAGTTATTATGAACGTCTGAAAATTTCAACTGTGAAAATCTGTCACCCAAACGCAACTTAAGCTGCCCAAACTCAGGAGTGGGATGGAGTGAGAAGAGAAGAACCTAGTGGAAATTAAAAAATTCGGGGGTAAATAATCCAACTTCAAAAAGCTTTAAAGAAGAAAGCATTTCTATGCACATTTAGGTCTTTTAAAAAAATGACATATTCCTTGGATGTTTTGTTTAAATGTTGTAGATTACAATAATAGAAAGCTTTCTTCCTTCTGTCCACAAACCCACTGCTATCGAGACAGTCCTGATTCACAGCCGCCCAGCAGGACAGAAGACACCCCACAGGGTTTCCAACACTGTCATCTTCACAGAAGTAGGCTGCCTCATCTTTCTCCTGAGCAGTAAAGAGTGGGTTCGAACCACTAACCTTTTGGTTAGTAGCTGAATGCTTTATATACAAAGCTACAAGAGCTCCTGTGCTCTCCATGAGTCTATTTACACAGACATGATGCTATGTATGTTTTTGTTATGTGCCTCAAGTTGACTACAACTCATAGTAACCCTATGTTGGCTCTGAACTTTGCCTTGTTCTGAGCCAACCTCTCCCCCTCTGACATAGCTGGCCCCATTGTCACAGTCACTGTGTCAATCCATTTTATCTAGGCCCTTTCCTCGCCTGCACTATCCCTTCATCCTTCTGAGCATGATGTCCCTCTCCAAGGCCTAGACCCTCCCGACAACATGCCAAAATATGGAGTTTCATAATTCTTGCCTCCAAGGAACAATGTGGGTCATTTCTGGTCCCACTCACAGTGACTCTAAGAACAACAGGGGGATCTGCACTTTAGTAAGCTTTTCTTTTTCTTCAAATTAGCAACTCTTTCAAAATATAATGTCTCACCCTGTCGGATTATTTCAGAACTGATCAATTTTAAGAGTAAATTTTAACCTACACAACTAGGTCTCAAAAAGCCCAGGGAGAATGTGACAATGAATTTCACACTGGCTAACAAGGAGAGGGACTCTTTTCTTTAAAGCTGTCTTATTTGGACAAGTGCATAATGGATGAATTTAAGTCTGTTTTCTAATAATAAAAGGAATGAAAAGTCATCAAACCAAAAAACCAAGTCCATTAAAGACAGATCTGTTCAGACTCATGGTGCTCCCCCTCCTCGATCCCCTGAGACTGTAAATCTTTGTGGGAGGGGACCACTCTCTGAAAAGAAGAGCTGAACAAGTCCATTAAAAATAGGTCTGTTCAGATTCATGGTGACCCTCCCCTGAAAAAAAGAGCTGAATAAATCCCAGAATGAGAAGACTCACTCAGGCTGCTGAGCTGCCGTATGATGGCGGCCAGTGTGCTGTTGGTGACACACTCCAGCTCACTGGTGATCCCCTCAGGCAGCGCTCCCCGGCACAGGTGCCGGGGCTCAATACTCCTCTTCACCAAAGGCATGACTCCCCCTGCAGACAGAAAAGTCAGAGTGAATGCTCATCGGCACATCTCAGCTTGTGTGCAGACTTAGTTTCCTTATTTGATAAAAACAGTGCAAGTGCCACAGTTTTAGTCAATGAGATTCACCCTTGGAATCTTCACTTACCAGGAATCTTCGTGATCTTATCATTCAAAATACCTAAACCTACTGCTGTTGACTCAATTGCAACTCAAAGTGACATTCCACTGGGTTTCTGAGGCTTGTTGATCTTTCCAGAATAAGTTTGAGCTTATTTGTCCGAGGATGTGTGATTACAACATATTCCAATTCACCCATCAAGTTTTCAAGGCTCTAATTTTTTAAATTCATTAATATTTTTAATATTCATAAACACGTTTTATGCATGTAATACTATGTTTTATATTTACACTCTATTTCATTCATGTATATTTTGGGGTTTTACCCCTTACCATCATCTTACTAGTAGTCATCTACAACTCAACAGTACTTAATAAAAACAACAATCATCTTACTATTAACTCCATTTGTGAAAGCATACCTCATGTTAATATCCCCCTTATAGATAGCCAATTTCTGATTTGCCCATCCCTATCAAATCATCACTCTGAGGGAACATGGATGGCCCTTTACTGAAAAATTCCCTGATCAATTTGGAAACTTTGAATGCCTTCATCCATAAGCAAAGTCCAGTCCAGATCAAGTCGTCAGGGTTTAGCTATCACCCCTAGCTCACAGCATGGATGATTCTATAAAATACTATCTGTGAGCAGGCAGACTAAATAAAAGTCTGTAAAGAAGCTCTGGTGCTCCAGAGAGTAACATGCCAGGCTAGAAAGCAAAATGTCACCAATTTGTAAACTTGTTTTTCTCTTTGGATAATGGCAGTTTTCTATAATATTGCCCTGTGGCTGCCTTGTTTTATTCAGTATAATGTCCTCTAGACTTATCTACGTATCCCCTGCTTCACAAATTCTTTATTCTTTTTTAAATTACACAAACTCACAGTGACCAGAGATGGGAAGGGCAGTCTCCTCCCGTGCAATGAACAGCATATGCAAATTCTCTGGTGGGTCATCTATGAGTCAGTTCCAACTCAATAGCACAGAACAACAACAGACGTGGGAAGAGAATCAAGATAGTGGCAGCAGAGGAAACAGCATAAGGAGCTGGAGGATTGGCAAGCTGCATAGAAACAGGCAACCAGAAAGACCGACGTGGTGCACAGAGACCGATATGGTGCTACATGGACAGTAGGGATTTGTATCAGAACTTTTATTAAAATAATTAGTTTGGGAGCCACAGGAGCAGTGAGCTGCAGGCCCCGGTGTAAGCCACCAGGTGCTATGGGACCCACCTGCCAGAAGCAAGCAGGTCAGTGGGAAAATGTCTGTTTTCTTAAGGCCCACCAACCCAGCAAGAGAGAGCAGGTCAGTGGAATCTGAATGAGTTTTCTTAAGCCCCATCAACCCTTCAGGAGTAAGCAGGTCAGTAGGAATTTGAGTTTTCTTGGGCTCCGCCAAACTGCCAGGAACGAGCATGTCAGTGGGAACTGGATTGAATTTTCTTAAACCCTGACGACCTGCCAGAAGCAAGCAGGTTGGTAGAAGTTTCACTGAGTTTTCTTGTGCCCTGCCAAGCCACCAGGAGCAAGCAGATCAGAGGGAATTTGAATGAGTTTTCTGAAGCCCCTATGAACCAAGGGCCCCACCCCAGAGGGGCCCGCTGGGCAAGGGCCGCTGAGTGAGAGCCTCTAGAGGAAAGACAGACAGCTGGAATTTGAGTAGGGATCCCGAGCGAGCACACCCGGACAGCTGGAATCTGAGTGAGGTCCTCACATGTGGCTGCCCCACCCACCCGTGCCTGCCCTGCCCCCCCATTCAGCTGCATACCCCTGATATCCAGTCAATCAACTGGCCTTTAATCTAGAGCACCTTAATCTGACTTAGCTACAAGAGGCTGCTCTCACAGGCCCTAAATGGAAACTTGCATTGAATCAGAAGTTCAGAGAGAAACACAAGTAGGATAGCTGCCACAATGATTTTTAGACCAGTGTCTTCAGATCAAGAATCTATCTTCACCTCAGGCATGAAAAACTCTACAACAGCAATGTCACAAAAGAAGCAGGCTAGCCCACATCCCTAAATAAGTGCAAAGCAGATGTCACCCCAAAAAGGTTATATAGTATCAATGGATATCCTGAACCCACAAAGTCTGATAGAACTTTCTGACACAGAATTTAAAAGAACAATGATTGAATATTCTCAATATGTAAAAGAGAAACTTGAAGAATTACAGGACACTGCAACCAAAAACCAGGAAGAGCTTAAAAAAACAATCCAGAACAATGCAGATAAAACAAACAAGGCATTAGTGGCATGGGGAAAACAAGAAACCACAATCTAAAATGTGAGGTCCAATGTTTCAGATGCTGTCAATATGATGGAGAGGCTTATGAGCAAAGTTGAAGAGACACAACACAGAACCAGCAAAACAGAAGATAAAATTGTCATCACAGGAACAAGCAAGTAAATGTACCAAAAAGTTGTGGAAGAATTAATAGAGAAAAATTTCGCAGGCATAATGAAGAATAAGAATATATAGAAGCTGAGCAAGCACCATACAGAATAGACCCCAAAACAATAATACCAAGGCATATTATAGTCAAACTTGCCAAAAGCAAAGATAAGGAGAGAACTCTGAAAGCAGTGAGGGAGAAACAAAGAGTAACCTATAATCGAGAGCAGAAAAGATTAAGTGCTGATTTCTCAGGAGAAACCATGTGAGCAAGAAGATAGTAGAATGAAATATATCAAAAACTCAAGGAACACAACAGTCAATCAAGGATATTGTACCCAGTGAAACTGTCCATCAAATATGAAGGAGAGATCAAGATATTCCCAGAAAAACAGAACCTAAGGAAGTTTGTATAAACAAGATCAGCAATGCAGGAAACACTGAGAGATGTCATTCTCACAGAGGTGCCACAGAAAGCAGGATAGACTAAAGTAACTTGCAACACCACCAAAAAGAACTCAACAAAATGATAGCAATAAAACTTGCCCCTCAATAATCACACTGAATGTGAACTGTTTGAATGCACCACTGAAGAGAAAAACAGTGGCAAATTGGATGAAAAAACAAAATCCTTCAATATGCTGTCTATAAGAGACACTGAAAAATTAAGATAAAGAAAAACTAAAAATAAAAGGGTGAGGGGAAAATACCAAGCAAATGGCAACCAGCAAAAAGCAAGAGTAGTGATATTAATCAATGATAAAATAAACTTCAGTGGAATAGCATCACAACAAACAAGGAAGGTCACTACATAATGCTTAAAAAAAAAAAGTAAAAAAAAAAAGACTGGAAGGAAATACATCAAACTATTAACTGGGTTCATCTCTGAGAGGTAAAAGTATGGCTGATTTTGATTTTTTCCCCTTTATATTTTTCATCGTCTCATTTTTCACAAGAAATGAGGTCCCCGTTTTGTAACTGGATTTAAAAACTACATATGCATAGTCAAAAGTTATATAACTTGGGGCTCTCTCCATCTTTCTGTCATTTGTTCAGTTTGATGATGTTCAATAAAACTATAAATCATTAAAAAAAGAACAATAAATATCGGTGCATGAAATGAAAGACCTACAAAATATATAAAACAAACATAAAACTGAAAAAGGAAGTAGACAACACTATTATAATACCAACTGATGTTGACAGATGCCGCCCTGGATGTGCTCACCAAGTTGTGCCAAGAAACCTGGAGAACAACCACCCAGCCAACTGACTGGAAGAGATCTGTATTAGTTCCCATTCCAAAGAAGGGGAACTCAACAGAGTGTAGAAATTATAGAGCAATAGCATTGATTTCATATGCAAGCAAGGTTCTGCCGAAGATTATCCAAAAACGACTAGAAAAGCACATCAGCAGAAAACTACCAGAAGTCCAGGTTGGGTTTAGAAGGGGTCGTGGTAACTAGGAATATTATAGCTAATGTTAGATGGATCTTACTGGAAGCAGGAAATACCAGGGGAATGTCTATCTGTGTTTCACTGATTATGCAAAGGGGTTTGACTGTGTGGTTCATAACAAACTGTGGCTGACTCTGAGAAGAATGGGAATCCTCCCAGAACACTTGATAGTGCTAATGTGAAACCTATACTTGCACCAAAAGGCAGTTGTCACAACACAGCAAGGAAACACTGCTTGGTTCAAAATTGGGAAGAGTGTATACAAGGGATGTATCTTATCTCCATACCTTTTCAACCTATATGCAGAACAAATTATCCAGGAGGAAAAGTGTGACATCAGGATTATCTATGAGGAGAAGTGTGGCATCAGGATTAGTGGAAGATCCATCAACAATCTGTGTTATGCAGATGATACAACCCTGCTTGCTGAAACTGAGGAGGCTCTGAAATGCTTACTGCAGAGGGTCAAGGATTGCAGCCTTTAATATGGATTGAGGCTCAATATCAAGAAGACAAAGATTCTCACCATTGGACCAATTGGCAGCATCTGGATGGATGGTGAAGAGATTGAGATTGTTCACGGCTTTAGTTTGTTTGGCTCCACCATCAACAGTCTTAGCACCAACAGCCAGGAAATTAAAAGACATATTGTGATGGGAAAGTCTGCTGACAGGGACCTCGTCAAAGTGCTAAAGAGCAATGGTGTCACTGTGGAGACTAAGGTGCACTTGATAGAGGCCATGGTCTCTGCAATAGTTATTATGCGTCAGAGAATTGGACAATGACTAGGGAGGACAGAAGGAGAGTTGATGCCTTTGAGCTGTGGTGCTGGAGAAGAGTATTGAATGTACATGGACTGCTAAGAAAACAAACAGGTTCATCCCAGAGAGGGTTAAACCGGGCTGCTCCTGGAGGCAAGGATTCTGAGGCTTTGTTTGACATACTGTGGACATGTTGCAAGAAGGGACCAGCCCTTGGAGAGGGACATCATGCTTGAGAGTGCTGAGGGACAGCACAGGAGGGGAAG